GTCCTTGACACCTTGTACGATACGGTACAACTCTGTTAAGACATACATATACATGTACCGACATGACCAACAGGAATATATACTTAGTATCCGAGGCACTGTAATTTCACAAATCTTCGGTGTACTTTTATTTTCGGTACTTTCGGTGCGTCTGTTTCACACTTAAAATTTCAATACGCCGAACGAACACTACAGTGCATTTCAAAACTATAGACGCGTAGGGTTTCTGAAATATTTCAAATTTGGCTGGAACTTTTTGAGAATAGTTTTCGGAATATTGCTCAGGATCGCTCCACAATTACTCTCATATAGTTTCTAAAGGATTGGATAACAGACGCCCAATTTGGAAAAATTTATGCACAAAGTGATCACAGATTTTATGTGGTATAGATGTTGGCATAACGGTTTTTGCCTAGGTACGCGTCTGTAGTTTTGAAATGGACTGTAACACACATAATCCAATAGGGAACTGCTTCTATGTACCTAAAACTTCTGTTTGCCTAACCTGGCCTTTTGCCCTCGTACCGAAAATATTGAGCACGTGAAATTTCTGAAATTAGAGTACTTCTGTACCGAACACTGAAAAAAGAGCCTTTTAATAGTTGACACAAGCTGATACCGATGGTCCATAATTGGCAGCAGTGTGGAACTCTCTGTTCTACTAGTATCTCTATCCATTCATATTAAAATATGAATAAATAATAACAACAAGAGAGCTTGGAAGCTCAGGGCCCTACGCTATGCTTTTTTGCCTAGCTCATCATGCATGTTATTATAAACTTTCTCTTTGCATTCGAGGGTAATATGACACCGTCTACCACCTTGATGACCGAGGCAAAAAAAGCATAGGGATGTTATAAATTTTTCAATTCTCCTATTTTTTTCAAGGCATAACCTGGGATTCGAACCCGCACTATCGCCCTACATGCATTCCCCGATACACTTCGCATTCATACTCATTCTTCCAAGTTGCTTCACGTTATGATCTTGCGTTTGAAAGCCCTATTTGAATATTGTGGCCAGCTGTGTTTGATGGTACGGTACGGTACGGGACAGGTACGGGATAGCGCCAGGCGTGACACAAACAAACAAATAAACACCAAACGAGAGAGCTTGGAAGCTCAGGGCCCTGCGCTATGCTTTGTTGCCTAGCTCATCGTGCATGTTGTTAGAACTGATGGAAATGCTTTTTCCTTTGATTAGCTACATCATTGTATTGCAAAAACGTTTCAATGAGATACTGAAGTACAAGTAACGTCTTCTGCATAGCTATAGCTATGGGACCGGCGCTGACTCTGCCGATCACGGGCGTTCTGGAGTCGACGGGATGTCTGTCCTGACGTTTCCTGGGACCGGCGCTGACTCTGCCGATCACGGGCGTTCTTCTTCTTCTTCTTATTATTATACTGACGGCAACTAACATCCATTCTGATTGCATTTACTCGTCTCCCTACTTCGTATTTTTTTCAGAAAATCTCCCCATACAGCAGGGAGTCGTTTACATAATATGACTCCCTGCTATACATCTACACGACTGTACATACGTTATAATTATTATGCTATCGGCCTACATGCGATTCCCGGGCTGGTCGACAGGCGGCCCAGCCAGCCTGCTAGTGGGATCTCGGCCTCGCACACAAATCCACACAAAATGTTACTGCACTGAATGCATTCCCCCGATACACTTCGCATATATACTCATTCTCTTGATGGTACCGTACTCTTGATGGTACGGGACAGGTACGGGATAGCGCCAGGCATGTCGATGGCACAAACAAACAAAAATATTGTGGCCAGCTGTCTTTGCTGGTACGGTACAGTACGGGACAGATACGGGATAGCGCCAGGCGTGACACAAACAAACAAACAAACAAACACCAAATTAAAGCTGTGTGGACCCTGGCTAGCGCCAGACGTTACTGAAGTAACGTCTTCTGCATAGCTACGGGAATTAAAGCTGTGTGGACCCTGGCTAGCGCCAGACGTTACTGAAGTAACGTCTTTTGCATAGCTACGGGAATAACAATCCAGTGCTGGTGATGGCACCAGAGTGTCACATCACGTGACCTGGGTGTGTCTGTCACGGACTTGGGTTGCTGGTAACTTGATCTTAATCACGATGACGATGTTGTTGGAGAGATTGTTTCTGCTGCTAACTGACCATTGCCGTTTGTCGTCTCCACCCTCTCTTGTTTGCTATTAGGTATGCCGTGACATCAACCGTATCAAGGTTTGCATGGAGACCGGCCAGACGGTGGTGCTGTTGAACCTGGAGAACCTGTACGAGAGTCTGTACGACGCGCTCAACCAGTCCTTTGTCAACCTGGGCGGCGAGAAATACGTCGATCTCGGGTTGGGCACCCATCGCGTCAAGTGCCGCGTCGACTCCAACTTCAGGTAAATTGATTTTCCTTCCTACAACAAGGGCACTTTTTCTTTTCTTTTTTTACGAGAAACCAACGGACCTCGAGAACAGAATACTGCATGATAGAGGTGACTGCAGGCGCAACTGTGGTGGTGAAACTGGAGCATCTCTGCCGACCTGAGGTCTCGCTTAGTCTTGCCTTTTTGCAGTGTGTGATGTAAGTCCATCATATTGTATCCTGGTGAGGGCGATTTGCCGAAACGTCGAGAAAATGATTCTGTGAATTGAGGTGTGAATTTGCAGTGTCCAGGGAATGAGCATGTGTGCTCCCTATTCCTCTTTCAGTTCTGAAGCTGCAGGGTGCCTCACCCCTATCACGTTACTGATGCGAGGGTCAGTGAATGGTGTTTTTCATTGGAAGTTGACTATACCGGTATACTACATAGGGAGATGTGTATGGTGCTGCATCACTCCCGCGGCTAATCTGGACTGTATGCGAATGCGCGAACACTGGAAACACTGATATTGGACTATACCCCGATAACATGAATTGTTGTGCGTGCATGCGTACGTGTGTGCATGTGTGCGTGCATGCGTACGTGTGTGCATGTGTGCGTGCATGCGTACGTGTGTGCATGCGTGCGTGCATGCATGCGTTTATTTGTGTGCGGTTGTGTGTGCGCGCATGTGACACCATTGCAACCGTTGCAACTCTCGTGTCTGTGCAGACTGATTGTGATTGCCAAGAAGCGTGACGTGCAGGAACGCTTCCCCATACCGCTTATCAATCGCCTGGAGAAGCACTTCCTGGCACTGAGCACGGTCCTATCCGAACAGCAAGCTCAACTAGCACACCAGCTACAGAATTGGGTACGGCAGTTTGCCGAGGTCACGGCCCGCAGCAAACAGCGCACGTTTGCCAAGGGTGACGCGTTCATTGGTTACCACGACGACACGGCCGCCGCTCTCATCCTGCACGCCTGCCAGGACCAGCAGGTCGGCGGCGTCGTGCAGTCCGCTGCCGCCATGGCGACGGGCGACGCGGACTGGGAGCAGAACGTGCTGCGCCGCGCCAAGTTCCTGCTGATGGAGATGTGCCCGCCCGACGCGGTCGCTCGCCTCTCGCACACGGCCCTTGCGCGCGAGGCCAGCGACTGCTGGAAGATCTACTTTGAGCGGCAGCGGCACAGCAGCCTGGACGAGTGCCTGCACGTGCAGCTGTCGCGATGGCGCCGCACCGAGAAGAGCGCCTGCGGCCTGTCGCTGCAGGTCACCACGCACTCGCGACTCCTGTCGCAGGTGGACGCGGAGCAGATTGGCGCACAGCTGCGTCTGCCCAGCGGTGCTGTGCGTTGTCTGCTACTCCAGCAGTTCCACACCGAGCAGCAGTTCTGCAGAGAGGTGTCCAGCTTCCTCTCCAACCGAGACTTGCTCGCGGACAACGGGGACGAGCAGCACATGCTTGTCAATGCTACAGCAGCAGCAGCAGCGGCAGCGTCTCGCGTTCTCATCATTCAATGCGACGATGGTGACCAGCACTCCGACCTGCTGGCATGTGCACGCCATCGCCTGCAGGAGGAACGCGAGAAGGCCCGAAGCGCGTACGCGCAGGCGGGCTGCGTCCAGGACATCCGCCTGCACGTCATCTTCATCGTGCGCCTGCCACGCAAGGCAGGTGGCTGCTTCGAGGGAGCTCAGGGCGGCATGTGGCGATCGGTGCACATCGACGAGCTTCGGCCATCGGCCTCCAAGGAGACACCGAAAGTGACAGCGCTGGTGGGTCAAAGTGTCAGCGAGCTCTTCTCTACGAGTGTCGGACGCATATTTGGATTCACGCACACTGCCGCTCCAGTCAATGAGAACGAACTTCAGGGAGGCGTTCCCGAGGAGCCCATGGATACGGGTGTGGCTTTGGTGGGTGATAACGAGGAGGCCCTGCGAATGCAGGTTGCCGCTCTAGGTGTGGGCGACGTTGCTATGGATACTGGTGATCAGCGGCTTGCTGGCCAGGCACTCACTATTGCCACCACGACAGCTGCTACTGGTGGCGGTGCTGGTGGTGATGCTGACGGCCCCGGTGAGTCCGTACTGTCACCTGCCGATCTACTCTCATCCTGCATACAGGACGCTGTGTCGCGGCTCGACGACATTCACGGCACGTTCACGGTGGTGGAGTCGCGCATTCGCAATCGCATCCTCTACTTCCAGCAGCTGCTCAAGTCCAGCGAGAGCGACGCCGTGGGCCGTCAGTTCCTGGCGCTGCTCTGCCGCAACATTCTGGCCATACTGCGAGTGCGCGACGACCAGCAACAGTACCGCTTCAATCGCAAGTCGATCGAGTGGGTGCAGGACGAGGCGTTGTCCGATCTTAGCCTGCAGGCCGGCGGTACGTTTCAGCGTGCCCTCTGGCTCAAACTGCAGAACATCTTCTCTCCCATCCTGGCCGAGGCCATAGCCAGTCTGGACTGCAGCAACAACCTGGACCTGTTGGAAGCGTCACAGCCCGCCTGGCTGCGTCACCTCTGGCTGCAGCTGTTCAGCGACCCTGAGATCTTCAAGCTGGACGAGAAGGTGGGGGCCACGCCGCGGGATCGCGTGCCCGTTCGTGCGCACGGCACTCACGACACGGTGTTCA